TCCTGAGCTGGGCCACCTTGTCCCTTCACCCACAGCTCTCTGAACCACATTTCCCCATCACCTGCATGGATGGAGGGAACGATGGCACAGAGAACTATATTTGGCTTTGGGAAACAGATTTACCTTCTCAAATCTGGCTTTTTAAAGATGATAGTGAAATGACTCTGCAATCCCCAAATGTATACCATCTGTGGGAAGACATGTGGTGACACAGAAACACACGTAACAGCGAAGGGAAATTGTTTGGGGTTGGCACGCTCATCTCCACTAATCCTAAACTGATCACACAGAACAAATCCTAACTCTGAATTATTTGGATTGTCTGGAATTCACTTGGTTTGACTCTGTGTTTAAATAAATAAGGCAAAGTTTAGTCCTGGAGTTGAGCTTTTTTTCCCTTCCTGTTACACAAAGACTTGGAATAGAATTTGATCTTTGTCTTTCCCTGTAATGCTGTTTCACCTGCTCCTGACTTTCAGTTCCTCCAGTTGCCCTCGCTCCTGGGCTGCCGCTGGACTTTCCTAGTAGAGCTTCCAAAACAGGATAGGTTTAAACTATCTCCATGCAAAAAACTGCCCTATACCATTGGCTCATGACATCCCTAACTCCCAGGGCTGTCACCTTGACCATTTCTTAAGCAGCTCCACTCCAAGTGCTGTCAAATAATGAGATGATATCTCTTACTATCTCCATGAAGGCCCGGATTCCCTCTGGTCTCTCATTCTCTCTCCCTTCCTGGCCTCTCTAAGTCCTATTCTCCTTAGAGTGATCTCCCTAAAGCAAGGTTCTGATTGGGCGAACCCCACAGCCTATAAAATGAATTCCAAACTCCTCATCCTGGCATTTCTATGTATTAACATTCAGGCTGAGGTCCGATGCACCCATCCTAGCTTCCAACAACTAGAACACAGTCTGGCTCACAGACAGACCCTGGGTGTCTGTCGCTAGATCATCCCTTCTTCCAGCAGTCCTCTCTCCCTGACTATTAGAATCCTACCTTGCAGGGCTGGGGGAGTGGTTCAAGTAGTAAGGCCTAGCAAGCATGAGGCCCTGAGTTCAAACTCTGAGCTGTGCCCCCCTCAATAAATAGAATCCTTCCTGTTCACCCTTTCTGTGATGTACCTCCTCTCCCATGATAAGACTGTCTCCTTCCTTTGGGCTCTCAGCTCTTTGTTTGCTTCTATGCTCTAGCACTTACCATACTCTAGCCAAGGTTATAGATACTTTATAAATAGCTCATTAATAATAATGGCTGACAATAATTGACCAGGTACTCCGTGTAAGACATTGCACCAAATGTCTCCCAGGGATTATCTCATTTAATCCTCAAAGTCATCTGAGGAAGAGAAGTCTAACACATCTCCCATTTCATGGATAAGAAAACCTAAGCTTACGGAAATATAGCAGCTTGACAGTCCCAAACCATAGGGCAGGAACTCTACCGCGTGCATCCATGATCATCTCCATTGACCTCCACCAAAAGCCCTGTGGGGCAGACAACACTGCAGTCATCATTTTGCAGATGGGGAAGATGAAAGATAAGGAGCTGTAATGATTGTCTAAAAGATTAATAAGTAGGCAGAGGGACTTAAATCCCAGCAGTTTCAACATGGAATCAAGAGTACAGCCAGGCCACTCGCCAGCTCTTGCCCACCCCATATTAAGCTCTTTAAGGACAAAGGTCATAGAGCCTCAACCTCCCCAGCAGCCCAGCAGGTGGATAAGTAGTTGCTCAAACTGGAACCCTCTATTATAGATGCTAATTGCATTCCATCAAATTTACTCTACACCTTGCTAATATATTTGGAGGGCTATCAAGGGTTGGCATTCTCTTGCCAGACAGACAGTGAACTCTGAAGACGGAATTCAAAAGAACCCAAGAATTGAGTGTCTTCTCACTCACTGTAGGCTTAGTCAAGGGTTCTCTGCCTCAGTTTCCCCACTTGTCCACTATGGGGAATTTTCACAGGTCCCTCTGCTCCCTAATAAAGGGAGGTTGATCAGACACTACAGAAGACAATAGGAATGACAATGACATTTTCTATAAGTATCACCACTCACAGAACGGAAAAACAGCACGGGCCTGATGAGCTCCTGATTACAGGAGCTGAGGAAAGAGTGGGGTCATTTATCCATGGCAGCGGGTAATCCGCACACCACTGACAGGAGATGTGGGAACACATCCTGCATTTCTGTATCTTTCTTCAAAAAATTCACCCTTACCATGAACTATGCTTTCCTTGGACCGGGAGACTGTCCAGTCTTTCAGCATACATTTGGCTAGGCAGCTGAGTAGCAAAGGGGGCTGGGATCAAGTCCACCAGCTAAACATGGTCGCAGATGACTCCAGTTCCAACTCAGTTAATGTTTCTGTGCACTGACAACGCCCCAGGCTCGTAGACACTTTTACACAGAACAATACTAATGTCCTGGACAGAAAAGGCAAGATATAGAGTCTTCCTTCCCTTCCTTCCCCAGGCTGCAGAGAGCAAGGGCTCCTTCCTGAATTTGGGAGAGCAAGTCATACTCTGAGCCATAGAGTCCTCATCTGTAAAACGAAAGAACTGGACACAAAAGCAACAGGGGATCCTTGGGTTCAAATAATCCCAATTCCACTGGAACCAGGACATTGAGGCTATAGCGTAGGTCTCACTGAGACTGCTGCATGACAGCTGCCCATGCAAAGCGGGAAGTAGAGCGTCTGGGCTTGTTGCTGTGGGCATGCAATTAGCCAGAGCCTCATCTCAGCAGAGGGAGTTCTGGGAATTCCTGATGAGGCTGGTGCCCAGAACAGGGCACACAACCTGCGTCACTTGGTACCCAAGGCGATCTGAGGCCTAGTCTACTCACAGAACCCCTGGTCACCCCCCAAGAGAGTGAAGGAGGCCAAACCTTAGACACTGGGCCCTGTCCCTCTGACCTTTAACACACATGCTTTATCTCAGAATGAAGTTCAATGAGTTAGGGCATGGAGGGGGTTCAGGCGGCAAAGAGTCAGAGACTGCTGCATCAGGAGGTACCCTTGGCCAGACATAAGGCTCTGAACTTTGAGAGGACGATGCCCATCCCTTCCATTCTCCCAGGGGCGCTCCACCTGACTCCTGGGCCCCAGTGCCAAATACCTGCCCTTGCCAAGATCTGCCCCATCCTCTTACCCGCTTTACTCCAAGTCAGTCTCCTCTTTTCCAAGGGTCACAGGGATTTTCCAAACTGCTTTCAAATGTATTTGAGAGCTCAGGGGAAGGGAAAAATAATCCCCTCACTGTCTATCAAAAGTCTCTGGTTCCAAGGCCCAAACTTTACCCCATGCATTAATCCAGGACAATCTTCCTAAAGAAGGCCAAGCAAATCCCAGGCTGGGTCCAGAGCCTGGAGAGGCTCAGAACCTGTCCTCTTAGCAAAACGTACCAAAAAAGGAGCGATTACCCCTTCACTACTTTCTGTGTGCATGTTTGTACGCGTGGTGCGTGTGTGTGCACATGCTCGCATATGTGTGGGTTTGGAAAGATGGATAAGTATCCCACCAGATACCAAGCCCAAGGCCATATCAGCCCTACTCTCCAGGCATGACCTGGCTCAAGTAGGGTTTCTCCATGGCTATCGATGCAGTGCTCTCACCCTGACAGCACCAACACCTCCCCAAGCCTGCCTGAGTATGAATACTGCAACAGGCACTACAGTGCGGCCCCATTTCCAGCCAATGGCACGGCACATGCCTCAAATGCCAAGGTTTTACTAGGACATGGACGCCTTACAAATGAAAAATCTGAAGCTATTTTTGTTTTTGGCAGAAGAGTATGACAGTGGGAAAGATTTGGCGGTGATGGGGGGAGGCTGGGAAAGAGTCCTTTAAAACAGGTAAGCTCAGAAATGATAAAGGTGAAAAATCTTGGCAAAGGGGACCATTTTCCCTGCTTTAAAAAGTCAGCTGCCCTGTTAAACAGCTTCTGTTTGGGAAGTAGAGGGCCAAAAACGGGCAGAATGACCAGACAACCTCTCCTGGAGTTTGACACCTAACCTCAGCAGAGGCACAAAGCAGCACAACTGTCACATCACCAAGGTCTGTCCTTCAGTGACCTCAGTAGAGAGTCTCTGGAAACTTACTTTTCATAATCTTACATTAAATCCCTTAATCCAGAATAGGCCCATCTGGGGACCGGGGGAGTTGTTGGTAATTCAGGGGGTTTCTTCTATGTCCATAGGATTTGGTTAGGCAGGCATGAAATGGACAGGGTGAACCAGGTGGAGATCCTTGGGGCACAGGCCTGGGACACGCTGAGATCCTCTTCTCCACAGTGCCACTCCTAGGTTGGCCAGGGCACTTTCCTGAACTCTTTTTCTCCAGCCTCCTCAACAGCAAAAGGGAATAAGCCACTAACTAATCTTTCCTCCTTTGGGGATCCCTTATGCACTTGCATTTTGTTGCATGCAAATAAAGACAAGGAAAAATAAACATCAGTTCCTTTCCATTCCTTTCCTTGTGCCAACATGTAACCCACATGGAACGGACACACGACTTCACATTGAATTCTTGTAGCCCAAGAGCCCTTTCTTACCGAAATTAAATATCCAGCTTTCCCTTGAAGTAACAGTAAATAAGATGTAAATTTAATACCATCTCTCACATTCATGCAAAATACAGCAACACATACCTGGCCTTACAAACACATTACATGTGCCTAGGACCCCAAGAAAGTTCTGATGCTCTCTCTTAAGAAATACACGGAGCCTTCTCTTTGCTTTAAGAGTCCAGGTCTGGAACCCAGCCTGTTGCTTACTTATTAGGGCTGCCCAGGATAAAAGCAAGTGCAAGAATTTGAGTTGATTCCAGGTAACTTCAATGCCCAGTCCTTTCAAGTCCCCAGCGCCAGGGTAAACAACTCCTAAAGCCAGCCTATGGAACCCCTTCCCCAGGGCCGTAATGCTCTTGGCTGTCACTCAGAAACCCTCCCCAGAGCTCTCAGGGTAGAAGGGGTAGAAGCTGATCCAAGCAGGACCAGATGGACCGGGGCCCCCAGCCTCTGGTAGGCACACCGCAGCTCGCCTGGCGGAGAACTTTGCAAAGCGCCCCAAACCTCTTCCAGCTTCCACTCTCAGCCATTTCTCTCCTTCTCCGCTTACAAAGAGCGGGGACGGAGCAAGCCGTCGCCACCTGCACCAGATCCGGGAGACCTGCTCCTGGCACCCCCGAGGGAAGTCAGGCCAATGGAAAGAGGGCAGAGGTTCACACCCCCACCCCCAAACCTCACAGTATCTACTTGCCCGGAGGTGGCTCCTCAGCCCAGGGAACCGACGCCCCCGGGCCGGCTGCCTGCACCCTCACGGCACCGGCCCCACCCCCAATCCTTCCGGCGCCCCAGCGCCCACCCACCCGGGCGCGGGAGTGGGAGGGTGCCGCGTGGGCAGCTGGAGCAACAGGCGTGGGAGCCGCGCTCCTCGCACTTGCTAGCTCCAGAAGGCTCGGTCGCGTCCCTCTTACCTTCGGCAAAGCGAGCCCCAGGCCCCGCGCCCCCCGCGTGCGAGGAAGCTGCGGCCGGGAGCCGGGGGCCGCCGAGGCGCCGAGCGCCTAGCAGCGCGGCGAAGCACCCAGCAGCCGCCGCTCGGGCGGCTCCTCCTTCGATCCCCCGGTGAAGTCTCGCTCGCTCCCTCCCTCGCTCGCTCGGTTCGTGCGTCCGTCGGTCCGCGGGGCCCTCCCTCCCCCGCTGTCGCTGTCGCTGTCGCTGCCGCCGCCGCCGCTGCCGCCGCCGCTCCAGCTCCGGCTCGGCACCGCGTCCCCTCCCGCCTTGCCGCTCCGCTTGCGGGCTCGCGGGCTCCCTCGCTGGCTCGCTGCCCCCGCCGCTGCCGGCGCCGCGCGGAGCGGAGCCGGGCCGGCCACCGGCTGCCTCTCCCGAGGTCCCTCTCCCGAGCAGGCGGTGGGGGCGCGGCGCGGGCGGGGCGGAGAGGAGAGTCCGGGGGAGGCGGCGAGGCTGCGCCCTCGGCTCCCTACCGATCCCCGCTGGCCGAGCGGCCCCAGGCCGGGCCGGAGAGCGCCGAGCCACCAGGCAGCCGAGGGAGAGGAGGAGGACCCGGTGCCTCGCCGCGGGAGGGTGCCCAGGGCGAGGGCGTGCGAGGGGGAGTGACTCCGCGCGCGAGGGTGTTTGAGTGTGTGTGTGTGTGTGTAAGAGGGGCGCGCGTGAGCGGGGGGGGATAGTGCGGGGGGCGGGGAGACAAGGCAGAGCCTGGTGCGTCTCCCAGGGCGAGTGGAGGATTCCTAGGGTGTGTCTGGAGGTGGTGGAGTGTGCCGACGCGGGTGTGAGCGTGTGTGCCGGCAAGGGTGGGCACTGGGGTGAGTGTGGCAAGGTGAGGTTGGTTGGGGACTGTGGGGGAGGAGCCGGCGTGAGCGTGATTTCGGGGGCGTGTGTGGCTGGAGACCCGGGGAGAGGTGACAGAGAGCGCTGGCGTGCGCGCGCGTGGGGTGTCTGCGCCTAGCTGGGTGGTGTCTCTTTCTCACTCTCTGTCCACGCGGCAGCAGCACCTGCTTGAGGCCAAGCCCGGTCACCTGGTGAGGTGGAGACGGTCACCGCACAAGCTTCCCGGCTGACCCTGGGTTCTCACCTGGAGGGACAGACTGTCCTGACTCCTCCTAAGAGCCGCTCTCGTATTGGAGCGCGAGGGCATGGCCGGGAGGTCGGGATTCGCTCTCCTATCCCACCAAGAGTACCCAGTACCTAGAATCAAGAATCTGGCCTTGGGAGCGTGAACTCATACCAGAGCCCGTTGCCTTCCTCCCAAAGCCGACCCAGCCCTTTGGTCCCTCCTGGAAGCCCACAGATCCTCGCGGCTTGGTGCCTCGACCCAGGATGAGGAGCAGGAGGTTGGCGTGCGACCGCAAGGCGAGGTGTCCCACCCTGATTGTCACCCTCAGGGGGGCGGTGAGCTCAGGGCGCAGTCTGGCCGCTGGGCCGGCCCGCGGCACCTGCTTTCCCTGAGTACTGGTCCTTGATGCCTCGGTACCGCGAATTCCAGGATCTCGGCCTGACGCTCGAGAGGCGGGCGGCTCTGTGCCTCAGTAGGGACCGGAAGGAACACTTGGCTTGAATGATCGATCACAGATCTGAGCGAGGAGAGGTGTGTGCTGAGACTTGTACAGAAAGGCAAAGTGCGCGGCTAGAGTAAGGGCGTGCGTGCAAGGGCAGTTTTAGACTAGGCGCTGGAAATGACTTTCCAGGTTCCAAAGCTTGAATGATCGATCACAGATCTGAGCGAGGAGAGGTGTGTGCTGAGACTTGTACAGAAAGGCAAAGTGCGCGGCTAGAGTAAGGGCGTGCGTGCAAGGGCAGTTTTAGACTAGGCGCTGGAAAATGACTTTCCAGGTTCCAAAATGGGGCATCTGACTTGTGACAACCTCTAGTCCTGATCCAAATTAAGGAGCAAGGGTTCGTTTTTTGCGGTTTGAGCTCTTGGGGGCCTCTGCCAGCTTGGAGCCCCTCATTCACTTGTCTGACTCTGCCCAAAGCCCCTTTCAGTGTGTGTGTGTGTGTGTGTGTGTGTGTGTGTCAGCCTGAAAGGTGCACAATTAGCCCTCCAAAAGGTGGGTATGGACCCCATTCGAATTTGCCAGGAGTCCCATAGCTGTGTGGGATTTGCATACTGATTTGCATACAGTAATAATGATTAACAACACTGCCACTCCCTGGCAGACCAAGGAAGAATTCAGGGAAGGCCCTGGCACTGATCCTCCCTCCCCTCTCTGAGAAAGTGCTTATTTTCTCCCAATTGCCAGCTTTAGCTGCTAGACTCCTAGAATGAAGTGTCTCAGCCTCTGAGTGGGCAGTTCCCAGGAGGGGCACTTCCCTTTGGTCTTCCACCCCATGTCCAACTTGGGACAATGGAAGCTCAGTATTTTATTTCTGCCCAGGTTTGAACTCCTGTACGTTCCCACCATTGTTTTGTAGCTTGGGGGCTCAATTTGCCCCAAAGCTTGGAGCCTTCAGGGGACAGTTAGGTGAGGATATTTGTTCTTCCCTGGAGTGATCAACTAATGGGACAATTGTGACTTCCTGGGCCCTGGCTTCAAGGCTCCACCCCTTCTTGTCTTCATGCTTTCCAGGCTCACAACTCATGGTCTAAGTGAAGTAGCTATGGACTGTTCTCTCCTTTTTATCTTCAAGATCTAGAGGAAAATAGATTAGATTTCTGGTCTAGGCCAGTGTGGGTTTTGTTTACAGCCCTCCCCACAGCCAGGTGACCTGGAAAGTAGATCGGACAAATCAGGGGAGAAAGGAGGTCCCTGGACTGGGGCAGGTGGAGGAGCCATTCATTGTCCAGAGGACCAGGCTGGCCTCTCTGGGCTACTGTATCTTTCTAGCACTTCCTGTCCTCACCTTCCCCCTCTCTGCCTCTGGCCCGGCCTGGCCGGGATTTTCACTTGCTTTTCCCCCATGACACGGCCGCTTTTCCTTTAACTCTCAGCTTCTATTTAAAAAGCTAATTTGGGAGCTTGTCGATGCTCCCAATTCAGACATTTTAAATAGGAACGGAAAGTCAGGAGCTTCCAGGGCACTAGATTTCCTCCTCTTGCCACTGACACAGCTGAGGAGTCCACTGTCACTTTGCTGGCCCTGCATATGTGTCTGTGTGTGGATGCCTGCAAGCTCAGAGTGTATTTCAGGCTCTTTTCTATTTCAAGGCAGGGCTCCTATGGACGACTAGTGTGTGTGCACACGTCTCTGCATGTGTGTGTGTGTGCGTGTCCTTTCCAAGCTGTGCACACATGAGGATTTTTCTTTAGTCCCATGGCTGTGGCCGCTATTTGCAGAGCTTGTCACTGTGTAGACTGTGAGGGTAAGAAGCAGCCTGGCTCAAAGTCCACTGCCTCTTTGCTGACATGCCAGGCTGAGGCAGGGTTGCTCTGCTCAGATTGGTTTTTGAAGCTTACCCAAGTGTCCCTAAGGGTCCCTCCCCCCATACTGCTTGTGGCTCTCCTATTTCAGTAATCTGCCCTTGCTGGGCCAGGAATTTTGGAGATGGATCTCTTCCTCTGAGGGCTACAGGGATCTCTTCCTCTGAGGGCTACAGGGATCTTTTCCTCTGAGGGCTACAGGGATCTCTTCCTCTGAGGGCTACAGGGATCTCTTCCTCTGAGGGCTACAGGCTTGCTATGTACCTTGCAGGTAAAAAGCATAGACTTTGAGTTCAAACTGACTGGAATTGAACTTGCCTCTGCTTTTACCTAGCTGTGTGACCTTGGGGAAGCTACTTAACTTCTCAGTGCCGTGATTTCCTTATCTCTGAATGTCAATAAATGATACTGGCTACCTTACAGGGTTGTGAAGATTAAATGAACTATCATTGACAAAGCACTTAGAACAGAGCCTAGAACACAGGGAGTACAATATAACTGTTGGTTGTTGTTCAAGATAGAAGTGGTATGTATAAGCAGGAGGTAGACAAATCTGGCTAGGGAGAAAGGTAGAATTACCAGGCTCTGTGTGTGTGTGTGTGTGTGTGTGTGTGTGTGTGTGTGTACACTTATACTCCCCAGTAAAAATGCCAGGCCACAGTCTACAGTCAGTTGAGTTCACCTTGTTGGGATTGCTGATTCTCTGAGTCCCAGAAGAAGAGGGACTTCTGGTAAAGGAATAGAGGAAGAGTCTTAGAGTGGCCATGTCAGAAGCCCATGGGGAATGTCCTTGCAGAAGGAATCAGCTCCAGGACTGTTACTATCCCCATGGTCCTGGCCTCCCTTCATGCACCTGCCCACATAAGGCAAAGCTTT